CCTAGGACTTGGAAAAACAGAGGTAGGAGGAGTAGTTTCCATTTACCTAGATGAAGAAACTTAAGAAAAAGAGGAAAGAATGTTGCATTTGAAATCCATTCTGGGTCTGTATATGTGTGATGTGGGAAGGGCTTGCATCATAGGTGTCTTCTCAGGAGACAGTGGGGATAGCAGATAAAGCCCTGAAGCTGGATGAAGTCACTTGGGGATTAGAGATCTGAGGCATTCATATCTCCAGAACAGGGAGATGAGACAGTGGAAAAGAAAAGGCAGGGTACCACCAGGGGATGACACAAGGGCTCTAGCCAGGACTCCTTGCCCAGGAAAGCACTCCCTAGATGTAGGTGTGAGTAATTCCCAGGCTTCTTTCTCACCCTCGGGTTTGGTGCTGGGGAGTATGTGTGAGGTTGTATGAGGCGCACTCGTGTGCGTGCGTGCGTGCGTGCGTGCGTGCGTGCGTGCGTGCGTGCGCGTGCGTGCGCGTGCGTGTGCGTGTGCGTGCGCGTGCGTGAGCGTGCGTGTGCGTGTGTGTGTGTGTGTGTGTGTGTAGGCAAAACACATCACACATGACTGGTGCTGTAGAGGTTGCAACATCTCTCTGAAACAGACAGAAGCTGCTACTGAGTTGTGCTGCATGGTCCTTAGTTCTCACTGGATGGTCCTTAGCTCTCACTGGATTGTCCTTAGCTCTCACTGGATGGTCCTTAGCTCTCACTGGTCCAGAGGACACAATGACCAGGCTACATAGAGATCACTTGAAGTGAACTCCAAGATTTTTGTTTTTGTTTCTTTTTAATTTGTGTATGTCAGTGTGCAAACATTCATGGTGTCAGTTCAAGCAGACCACAATGGACACCAGTCCTTGCCTTCCACCTAGTTTGTGGCATCATCTCTTCTTTACTTGCCACTGGGAATGCCTGGCTTCCTGGCCCATGAGCTTCTGTGGATTCTCTTGCTTTCGGGCTCCCATTTCTCTAGAAGAGCACTGAGATTTCAGGCACAGGATACCACATGGGGATTTGAACTCAGGTCCTCAGGCTTACATGGCAAGCACTCTATCTACAGAGCCATGTCCCCAGTGCAGAGTTTTAGTTTTAGGCCCATGGTATTGGAGACTACAGATATGATGACCTCCTGAAGGGATCCAGACCTGTGATCTGACATTAGAGTGAGCTAGCTCAAGATGAACTGCTTTCTCTGAGGAACAATTCCATGGAAACAGGAGGCTGTTCTTGGGGAGGATTTTCATACTAGGTAGGGACAGCCATAAACTCACCTTAAGGATTAGTAGGCCATTTCAGAAACTGTTTCAGTTTCTTGTTGGCCTCTTTCACTCACTCTGCCAAATACCTGGTTTCATCTTGTTGTCTTGCTGGAAGCACTATAGTCTCTCAAGCTTGTTTTCTTGTCTGGTAGAAGCTGCTTATGAGATCGGAGGCCCCTCTGGCCAAGCTTGGCCCTGCCCCGGGGCAGAGATAAACAGGCCCAGAATCCATTTCTCAGATTGCAACACTGGTGAGTCAGGCAGGGTCGGACAGCTGCTCCCTCCCAGGCACCCCTTGGCTGTACCTGATAAGGAACCTCATCGCTCATTCCAGAGCACCGTCTTGCGAGTGCACAAGTATAAACAGACACTCCCAGGCCCTGGTGTTGTCTTAGAGTAAATTATTGACATTCTGAACGGCTGAAACCTGGGGAAAGGAGAAAGTAAAACGAACAGATTCAATAGACTTCAGTTTTCTTTAGCAAAGCCACGGAAAGGTTTTTGAACTTATTATTCAGCCCAGGGCAGGCTCAGGAGTTCCTTAAAGCTATGGAGACAGGAAGGAAGAAGGTTACACTAGGGGAGGTCCACTCAGGAAAGAACAAATGGCAAAATACCCAGAGAGAAATGTGTGCCTACGTTCGCCACAGACAGAGACAATGGATGTTGTAGCATCCTCAAAAAAAAAAAAAAAAGGAAATAAAACTGATTTCCCAAAGTGAATGACCTCCTCCTATAAATGATGTATAAGGAGTGGGAGAAATGGGCTGCTAAGAGCATAGTAACAGTTACATAAGACCAGTACTCATGTCACATTATGCCTGGTCATCAGTATTTCCCATAGTACACCTGGTCATCAGTATTTCCCATAGTACACCTGGTCATCAGTATGTCCCATAGTACACCTGGTCATCAGTATTTCCCATACTACACCTGGTCATCAGTATGTCCCATAGTACACCTGGTCATCAGTATTTCCCATACTACACCTGGTCATCAGTATGTCCCATAGTACACCTGGTCATCAGTATTTCTCATTCTCCCTGTGGAAAGCCGTTCATAACGTCTAAGGCTTTCTTTTACATTGACCTTTTCCATTGAACTCCATCAAGCTACTCAATCTGGGAGGGCATCGAAGCCCTTATTTCACAGATGAGGAAATTTGAGACTCAGGGAGGATATAAGCAGCTTACTGAGGCATAGTGAAGAGCAGGGAGGGGTAGATTTGTCCTAAGTAACTAAGAGTTAAAGCACTGCCTAGGGCTGGAGAGATGGCTCTGCAGTTAAGATCCAGTGCAGCTCCTGCAGAGGATTTAAGTTTGGCTCCCAGTACCTACAAAGGGGCTTACAACTGTCTGTAACCTGTAACAACAGTTCCCGGGAATATGGCTCTCTCTCTTTTGGCCTCTAACAGCACCAGGCACATAGTACACATGCCTTCATTCGAGCAGACACTCATACATATTAAACAGAAATAAATCTTAAAAAAAAAAAAACCTCCAAACAACATCATGATTCTCCTTTAGGATGTTTTCTTTGCTAAGACGCTTGCAGAGCTAACCCTCTATTACACGCGGAGGGAGCAGCCTTCCACCACCAGTGTGGTCTGCAAGTTTCCGTTATGAAACACTGCTCTGGTTATTTTGCCAAGTTCTTTGCTCACAGCAGTCATATCAGTGACGAGGAAAACACCATGTAGAATTTTTAAGCCCCCACTCCTGGCCTTTCTTTCTTGAGTGTCCCTTCCTTGACCCCCTTTTACTGTCCTGTATACATGCTGTGGTTTTAGAGGCAATGACTACGGGTCCTCTAGGTGCCACTGTGTGTGTGTGTGGCGGAGGAGCAGAGGGTACAACAGCTCCTGGCTTTTTGGCATAGGACTTTATAAATGCACTTAACCCCTTATCTTAAGGGGTGGTCAGATAGGTGTCCTGAAATTGAGACCTCTTTTGGAGTCTTGAAGGTAGAGCTTTTCTGACTTTGGCCAGCATCAGAAACATCTGGGGTACTTGTTAAAGACAACGATCTTCAGGCCTCACCCCAGACCTTCTGAATCAGAATTCCCAATGGCAGTTCCCAGACAGGAGTGAGCTTAACAAGCTCCCCAGGTGTTTCTGAAGTCTTGGGCCAAGCTTGAAAATCACTATCTTAGCACAGGGGTGGAAGCTAATCAGGCAAAGGAAGGTGGGGGAGCCACTCTAGGAGAGCTGGTAGCAGCAACAACACCCTGGGGAGTCTGGTGCAGACAGTGAGAAAGACAAATCTTGTTTTGTTTTGTTTTTTTTCTTCCTTCAATAAAGCGATCAGATAAAGGTGGTTAGAAGTCTTTTCACACATGTCTACTGACAGATTTCTCCTAAGAGAAAGCAATGAATTGTCCTTTTTCTCCCCAGAACATAGAATGAAAGTTACCAAGGACTGGTGGGAATGGGGAAGAGGGGTTATTACTTAAGGAGCACATAGTTTTTTTTGGGAATGATAAAAAGGTTCAGGAAATAAACACTAGTCATAGTTGCACACTATTTAATTTTTTTTTGCTGTTGCATTGAATATTTAAATATGGTTAACACTGTACATTTTATATGCATGTTAGAGTTAAAAAAATATAGCTGGCATATTAAAGTTGAATGATAGGAGCAAATGATCTTTAATTTAGCCCATTGCTCCTGTCTCATGACATTGGTCTTGTGAGCGTGTGTGTAATATTTTTAAAGGGGACCCAGCTCATAGTACCTGACCTGACAAAGTCCAGGTGTGCATCCCAGGGAAACAACAATAAATAAAGCTTCTGAGAATACTTGGCACTATTCTGCCTCTTTTACCTTTGTTGGCTCCTTATGTTCACGGTCACTTTTGAGCCCTGCAGAGCAGTATCTCTCAAACTTGTTTAGGGAACCATCTGAGAACTTTGTTCAACTGCATATGTTAATTGAGAAAGCCTAAGGCCCTTTAAGAGGCATTTCTTACTAGTTCTCAGATGATGCTGACACTCTGGTCCATTCTGGAAGGGCTGTATAAATTTCATCTTCATTCACACTGCATCCTCAGAGTCATGAACACATGGTTGACATAGGAGTTCAGAGGGCAGAACTGCGTCTTTGTTCTGCACTATAGTTTATTTAGGGTGCTTCTATCAGTCCCACACTTTGTGATTTTAAAAATTACCTCGACTTACCTCAAATTTCTGTAGAATGAGGATGTCAGTATCAAATTATTTCTGTTCTTTGCTGCTTCTACTGCAGTCCTGGAATTATTGGCCTTGTTTGTATAGAGGGTAAATGAACCCTGCTTTGCAAGCTCTGGGGAAGCCTTACTGTAGTCTACAATCCCTGCAAACAAATTCCATCTGAAGAGGGAGCAGAGTGCAGAGAACATGCTGGTGTGGGAATTTCCAGATTTGGACGCCAGTCTGAGTAATTGCCACTTTGGCCTCCTCCATATCCAAACAGCATTTGTAACACTGTGTGAGAGGCTGGTTCATAAGGCACATGAATGTAATCATACTGCCATTATTTACTACTATCGTTTATGTTGATGGTAACGACACTGGCAGTTGAGCGATGAAGTGTGTGGGGAGGTTGGGGGAGGGGGCGGAGGGATGCAGGATGGCAGGAGAAAGAGGAACTACATCTCCCAGAACCCCCCTGACAAGCTTACACCGCGACGACGACGCTCCTCCCCCTCCCACCGGCGCCCCGCCTCCACGATGACGTCACAGAGGTGACATCACGGCGCCCAGAGCGAGGCTAGGGTAGAGAGGCCGACCGAGCAGGAGTCGTCGGCTTGTAGAGGAAGCAGCTGGGAGCTGGCGAGAGCGTGAGCGGGCGGGCAGGCGAACGAGCGAGCGCAGGCGGGAGGGAGCGGCGCACGGCGCAGAGCAGCGGCAGCCCGGGCCGCGGCGGAGCCTCAGCCGGAGGGCAGCCCGAGCGGGCGCCTCGGTCCCCGCCCCCACTCGGCGGGGCAGTGCCCGGTGTTCCCCCGTGCGGGGGGCGGCGGCGGCGGCTGAGCGGACCCCACGGGACCGCGCGGGTGTTGCCATCTCGGCCGAGGAGCCGGCGAGGCCGCGGGGCCCTGCGAGCTGGGCCCGGGGCCCGTGACAGACGGGCCAAGGAGGGGAGAGAGGCGGCGGCGGCGCAGGCGACGGGGAGGCAGCGGCAGCGGCGACACCATGTCATCCCCCAGTCCGGGCAAGAGGCGGATGGACACGGACGTAGTCAAGCTGTATCCTTCATGGAGGGGAATTCGGACTGCGTGTGGGGCGGGTGGGGGTGCCCAGGCGAGGGCTCCGGCCAGGCCACCGGCCGCGCCTCCCCTTCCTCTCCCGGTGCCTACGGCGGCCCCTTGGCACCTCCTCGGAGCCGAGGGCTTTTTCAGTCCCCCTTTATCTGCAGCCCCCCTAGATGTGCGTTGTTCTTCGCCCTCCCTGCACCCCTCCTCCCCGAGCCCCTGACTTTTCCTCTACGACGTTTGGATTCCTAAGACGGCCCTTTCTTAGGGGTCTGTGGAGGGGTATAACTAGCCGCCTTCTTCGTCACTGGGCGCTCATCTTCAGGGTCTTTGCTTCCTGTTTGCTAGCTTTGGGTTTATGGACTCATTATAGAAATTCCTGAGAGGGAGGCTCTTCTCTTTCTCTCGTTCTCTTTCTCTTTGAGGTGTCCCGGTTCCTTCCACTCACAGTGCTGCTTTAACTGGGGTAACTCAAGCGACCTTCTTTATCCCTAATTCCTTTCTATATTAGGAAGAGAGTAGCCTGCCCAGGGCCCCCTCTTGTAATAAAGAGCTTCGTGTGTTTTAAATCAGACACTCCTGTTAAGCCTTCTGGTCTGGAGAACCTTCCTGTTTTTCTTTCTACTGACAAAGCCTATCCCACTCATAGTGCATGCAGTGAGGACCCCCAGGCCCTCTTAGCAGGCAGGCCACCCTCCATATTGTGGATCTGACAGCTGGGAGGAAGGAGAGAAAGGAGCTCTCGAACAAAATAGCCACTTGAGCAAAACTCCCTCTGTGAGGGTACGGTTCTTGGGGACTACTTGCCCTGATCTGGGCCAAGTGACACCTTTAATTTTCTACCCCTTCCCCCAACTTTATGTACACCCGAGGTTGCTGTGGGAGAGCTGTAACCGATAAGAGTCCTCCAGGCAGTGGTTTTGATTGGAATCCAGGCTGATTTTTTTCATAACCAGTAGAGAAATTCGCGAAGGTTCCCTAAGACAAATCGAGTATTTAAAAAATGTTTTTATTTTTTGAGGGTGGGGGCGAGAGCCCAGTGTTCTAAATAGCTAATCCCCAGGGAGAGGGTGAGGGGGGGCGGGAGTGTGTGAAAGGCTGTTAACAAGTCCTGTCTCCTGTTTCTCTTTTCTGCCTTGCCCCCATCCCCCAACCATTTCCCCCTGTTGCAGGATTTTGTTTATATAACTCAAGTTGTTTGTCTAGATTCTTCAGGTGAATTCCTCCTTTTATTTGTTGCTGTTTTTGATTGTTTCTTTTTTTCCTAAACATCAGTGGTGGCTGTCAAAAACTCAGTTATGGAATTTGCTGAAGTTTTTAAAAAGTAGTTTTTGCATAGGACTTTTAACTTGGGGGATGGGAGGAAAGTTGCCTAGGCAAGAGGTTTCTTTTTTGTTTTTATTTTATTTTTATTTTTTTGGCTAATACATCTTTTCAGGAATAAGAACATTTTTTTTTTCCCTTCTTGCCTAGGAGAGATCTGGCTAGAAATTAAGAATAGTGATTAAACTCACAAGTTTTAGGATTTGGAATCTAGAATTTGAGGGAAGGGCAGTAGGAAGGACCAGAGAGCAGCCAGTAAGAAAGGATAATATGCTATACAGACACTTAGACACATGTGAAATCAACTCTTTATGGGCTGTTTGTGATTGTGATTGTTTCACAATGCGTGAATGATACCAGGAATGCTGGCTTTTCATACAGCAGGAAAACTTGTAACCATGGCTCTGTATACATTTTACACAAAGCAGTTGGGGGGGGGTCATTATTTTTGTTTAGAAACTAGGAAATGACACGGTGCTAGACTTAGGAGTTATTTTTGTCTTGAATTGAGAGTTACCATCACACCTAATGCAAATTTCACCCTAATGGCTTAGAGTGGGGAGAGAACTCCAGCTGTTTTTGATCGATGTCAGATCCTCGCATTTTGTTCATACATAGATTTCTGAAAGATTGAGGATAAAGAGTGAGGCCTAACTTGACCCGATGCCTTTTCCTTACCGTGCCTTTTGTTCACACAGTAGTTGTGGCATCTAGAATGATCACCGCATTTAAGAGTCGGGGTGTGGGGGGCTGCGGTTGGGGGGGTGTCGAAGGAGAGGGAAACAAAGAACAGCAGCAGGGTGTCTCTCTTTCCCCCTCTCCGTAAGTGGCTTATTTCATAGCTTATTTTTAGTAGAAGATGAAGAAAGGCAAAGATGCATTGGCTTCTGTTCTTTCCCCACCTCTCTTGCTGACAAAAGAAAGCTGGGTTCTTTAAAATTGTAGATTTCTGAGATAAGAGGATAACAGTTTTGATTTGAAAGCTAGAGGCTATCTTTGCTTCAAGTTTATTTTCTGATTTAATGTAGTTTGGGAGTTGAAATTTCTCGGATTTCCTTTTGTGCGTGTGTGTGTGTGTGTGTGTGTGTGTTTGTGTGTATTGTGGAGGTGAGAGATTTTTATGGCCTCCTTTCTCAGTTGAATTCACATCAATAGGCCCAAGTAGAGTTTACAATTTTTGGGTAAGGTATACTTGGTGAAAAATTTAAGAGCGAATTCCCCAGTCTGTGCTACGGTGGGTACAATTGCCTGTCAGTGCTGAGGGTTAAAAATGAAACATGGTGGTAAGGAAGTAGAAGACAAGGTCTGAAGGAATGTCTGCCACTTGTCCTTGTCCCTCCGTGATTTCTTTGGTGGAGGCTGATAGCCAGTTTCATGGATGTCTCCTGTTTCAGCCCATTTTTGGCTGTCTTCTGGGCATAATTACACTACAAGGATTTACAGCCTGGCAGCAAGCTATATAGTAGGAAAGTAGCGGCGTTGGGGTAGGGAGAGAAGAGGGTGTTACTAATTGGTCACTGCTTTCCAGCACCTTGCTAGCTAGACAGAGTCTCCTTCAGAGCCAGTGATAATTTCTTTTGTGAGGGGTTGGTAGGATAGCTGACTCCCAAGTTATGCAGGGAGTGAGTGTTTTGCACCAATGCATTTAATCTGCTGGGCGATTATGCTCTGAAACTCTGACTCATTCATTGTTTCTCTTCTGATCCCCAGCTGAGGGTTGTGCAAACCTCCCCAGGAGCCTAGAGACTGATTTACATGACTTTTGGGTGCTGTGGAATAAAAACCACTTATCTTTAGCCTAGGTCCTGGAAAGTGGTCTTGAATAGTGCAGCCATTTGCTTGCCAGAGTCAGGTAGATTGCCAGCCTTGAGAGCAGCACAGGATCAGCCACCTTTGAGGTTTCCATCGGCAACCACTGATTATTTAGATTGTCTGAGAACTGGGACTCTGGTGACCTTAAGCGTGATTTGCCCTGAAGGAATATTGGTTGAAGTTCTCCCTGGTGGAGGAACAAACAGCTCAGGTTACATGGGTTTCCTTGTTGGTGGGGGTGACTGTCTCGCCCTGTTGCACAGCTCTGGTGAGCCTTTTATCTGTGAACCAGTGCCCCTGCTGAAGGCTAGAGCTGCTTGTTTTGGAAAAGCGTATGCAGGCAAAAGGCCGCAGGCACAGCTCCTTGCAGCTCATTGGCTGCTCTGTTACTACCCGGAAAAGGAGGAGGGGTGGAGCTACTAAACAGCTGATGGGAGTGTGTGACAAGAGTGTGTTTACATACAAAAGAGTGGGGGCTGGGGAGGCCTTGGGCTGCTGACAGAACCAAGGGTATTTTCAAGGGGTAAAAAAAGGAAAACCTGTACTCAGATTCAAGAAATGTTCAGAAAAGTAAACTAGAAAACAATCTGATCATAATGGGGACTTGGCACATGCTTCTATTGCTGTAATATTTGGAAATTTTAGAATATTATGAGTTTTCAAAGATTGTCTTTTCCAGAAGGATCTCAAAACAGGATATGCTGTTTTAAATGTCCTTAAGTGACTTACAGTTGGGGTTAGAGGTGGGGTGGGAACGGACCTCCAAAGCTGTAAGCTTGCTAGAATTTACAGAAAAGCTGGTGGCTGCTGTAAGCTTCAGAAATTTACTGGAACAAGTTCAAACCTCTAAATATTTGTGAACTTTCTTTGTGTCAGGCACTGTGTGTCTATGTGGAGGAGTTGGTGAGAAATTCACTGTGGTGGACGTAGTACTTCTGGAATTAGTTTTTAAATTCTACCTTTAAACCAGGAAGGACAGCATGTCAGGTCAGCATTATATGTTATTCTTTGCTTTTTGAATACTTCGTATTTTCAAAATTGATCCTCCCCTTTTGCTAGATGTGGTGTCTCACACCTTTAGTCGAAATAATTGGGAGGCAAAAGCAGGTGGATCTCATGGCCAGGGCTACATAGAGACCCTGTCTCAAACAACAACCTGATTGTTTAAAAAAAAAGAAAAGTTAAAAAGTAATGTTATGTGATGAGGATATATATGGGCATCTGAATGCCTTTTTAAATTTTAAACATTAAAACAAAAGCGTTGAAATGTGGAGCCATTTACCTCAGACTTTTAACTTTGGCGTTTTAGCTGTTAATCAGCAGTTATTCTATCCCCAAGTTATTCATTGTTTAATTTGTGTTCAAAGTGTAGACAGTCTTTTAACCAGCCCTGGTGTCCATTGGCAACCTGGTGGTTGACCCTTCATTTCCTGTGGCTTCTCTCTTGAGTTGGTGAGATGAAAGAACAATTTTATGGCCTTAAAGCTAAAAGTCAAAGACTTGGCAACTCCCAGTGTTTTGAGTTTGTCTTCCCTGCATAGATTTTGGTGACACAGGGATTATTATAGCACTTACTTTGGTAAATCAGGAACCTCTGAGTTTTGCAGTGAAGTTGTAGTAAAATACAAACAGGCTTACAAATTCAGCTTATAAGAGAGAAAACTCTTGTGTAGGTGTGACCTTGTAAGAGACCCTTTCTCTGTAGGCATGCATTAAGATGACCTGGCTTGTTAGTTTGGGTGTTGTGACTTCCCCTGCACCCTGACTGGTGTTTACATACACATACAATTGGGATCTCATTTAGTGTTAGTAGATTTATAGTTCCAAGAACCATTGGATTTTTTTAGACATGCAATTCA